GATGAAAGCATGAGCCAGTTCAAGAACATGACATGGAAGGACCTGGAAATCATTGTGCTGAGTGAAGAAGGTCAATCAGAAAAGGACAAGTATAGTATGAGTGCCCAACTACAGGAAGCAACACCAACTTAACAAACCTTAGGAACGAATTCCTGAACAATTACGAAGAAGAGGCTAGCTACCGGCCATGAACCATACATCCTCTCCCTTTTGCGCACTTCTTAAGAGCCAACGTGAAGGAGGAGGCCCCGCATTGTCTGGGGCCACTCCTTCAAGAAGGGGGAATTGGGAGATGACCACCCACTTGAGGCTATACAACATCAAAATAAGGTTGGGGCAAATCAATGCCCCCCACCCCCCACCCCAGGAATGGAAGGAGAAGCTTTCTGGAAATTCAAGCCAAGACCAGGAGAGGGGACCACCTACATTGTGCAGGAGACGCTGGTATTTCTGTTGGTGAGTATGGCGAGTGATTGGGGACAACTAACCACATAACAGGAAGGGATGCTAAACAGTGAGTGTAGGGAACCTAGGGGGACAATGGGCCAGATTTTAGGTCCCTGGGGAGACACTACGAATTTGTTTCTACCCAACCTTCAGTGAACCATGTCATGGACTAAGTACCAGGATGATCACGGACGCTGACCTGGCGGACAGCAGGGCACAACATTGGGGCTACCCCAGAAGGACTTAGCATAGAGGCCCCACTGAATGAACTGAACCCTGCCTCGAAGCTGCCTGCACCCTTGGACTGAGGGCTGCAGTACTTGCGTGGGAGAGGAAGCAGAGAGTGGCCGCCCCAGGACTGTGGAAGTGGATGGTCATTGGGCCTTGAGGGGAACCCCCAGGCTCCGTGTGTATCCAATGGAAAGGGACCCAGGATCACCGTTACTACATGTATGTACTCAGTGCCCTGCAGGAATATGACAAGTTGGACCTGTGGAGCAGGGATCTACACTTGGAAGAACTGACCCAGGAAGGCCCCCACTGGCATCAGTCCCAATCCTTAGGGTCAACAGAGCCCAGTGGCATAAAAGATCGAACTGTGTTGCACAAAACCCGTGGGTGCGGCTCAAGGTGGGACTGCGCTCACACAGACTCCTCACAGCGACGGTGTCTGGAGTGCTGGGTCACTGGGAAAATGGAGGATGATGACAGTGCCATCAATGTGTACCCCAGGAGAATGACGGCAATGCTACGCCTCTTTGTTTATAAGGGTTTTTGCTTTCCTGCTTGTAGCTGGCTTTTTTGTTGTTGTTTTTGTATTTGCTTTTTCTTTCTTTTTGGGTGTGTGTGGATATAGTTGATATTACAGGGTTGTGATTTTGTCATATTTTGACTACCAAAGTAACCCTGAGATGTGCAAACTCCATGGACAAGCAGCTGGAGTCTGGGCTCCTACTTAACTCTAGCCCCAGTTCAAGAACAGTTAGTTCTGATAACATGGCCCTGTGCTCGATACTCACCTCCATGAAAGGATCACTGAAGATCAGGGTGCTACAGCAGAGTGTGGTGAAGAAAGTAGATGGTGCCCGGCTATCAGTTAGAATAGTGTCTGGGGTCTTAAAGGCTTGTATGCAAACAAGCAGCCATCTAAGCGAGGAGTCAACCTCAGTCCATCCAGAAGAAGCCCACCAGCTTCTGTGATCCAAAGATGACAATTACAAAATTGAATATGGCAACATTTGAATATGGTATCAGAGCTAAAATTAGGAACACCCAATTTGGAGAAGGCTCTGGAGGGCAGTGGGAGCCCAAATCCCACCTGAAGACCATCTAATCAGACTGAGCTGCTGGCAGGTCCCCCCTGCCACAGGCAAGAGGCTAAACAGCCTCAGACAGAGACCACGGTCATGTGACTATGCTGAATCGAACTGGATACTTGGCCACAGGACCTCCCTGTAAGACAGGACCTGAATTGGTTTTGGCTGCAAGTATCCATGACAGAAATGTCTTCCCTGACTTTTTTGAATGTTGATGGGGGTCTTTTCTTTCTTACTCATCATTTGTATTTTTGCCTTTATATTCGTATTATTTTATCCTTATCACCTTATTTTGTTTTTTATTGTTCCTGTTTGCTTTCCTGGTTTGTGATGCACAGGAGGAGTGGATGCATAGTGATAATTGCTGATAGACGGGCTGGTAGGGGATGCAGGGGTGGGGGTGGGGTGGATGACTGAGGGAAAGGAGAGTTCAGGAATTAAAAATGAAGGCGGGCGGGGGGAGGAAGCACTAGAACTGACTGTGATTGCACAACTCATTTCAAAGGCAATTTAACAATGGGGTAGGGGGAATGCTCTAAAATTGATAAGGCGATGACTGTTCAATGCTCCTCAATATGATCGAATGATTGAACTATTGCATTGTATGATATGTAAATTGTGTGCCAATAAAACTGTTATAATAAATAAATAAATAAGACCGAGTCGACATTCAACCAAGAGGTTACATGGTCAAAAACCAGTGGTGCTGAAGGAAGACGTTCAAGTTGCACTAAAAGCATGAGCCACAAACACGACTCCAGGAACTGATGGAATGCCCACTGAAATGCTGCCACAAGCTGATCAAGCTCTGGAAGCTTTCACACGCATCTAGGCCGGGAAATGTGGTAGACAGCTACTTGGTCAACTGACTAGAAGAGACCCATAGTTGTACCCATTCTAAAGAAAAGTGACCCACAGAATGCTCCAATTATAGAACATTGTCATTAGTCTCCTCTGCAAATAAGGTTTTGCTGAAGACCTTCCAGTACATTGATGGAGCTGCCGGAAGTTCAAGCTGCCCTCAGACATGGGGAAGAAAGATATCGTTGCTGATGTCAGATGGATCTTGGCTGAGAGAAGAGAAAACCAGAAAGATTGTTACTTGTGCTCCATCGATTAGACAAAGGCATTCCACTGTGTGGGTCCTAACAAACTGGGTAACCTTAAGAATGGGAATTCTAGGACATTTTATTGTGCTCATGTGGAACCTGTACATGTATCAAGAGGCAGCTTAGTGAACAGAACAAGGGAGTACTGAGTGGTTTAAAATCGAGGAAGGTGTGCATTCATCTGTGTGATGATCAATAAATCAGAGAAGCTGAATTATGTGAAGAAGAATGTAGCCTCTGGTTTGGGGAAAGGCTTATTAACCACCTTCCGTATGCAGGTGACACAACCTTGCTTGCTGAAAGGGAGGAGGACTTGAAGCACCTGCTGGCGAAGATTAAGGATTGCAGCCTTCAGTATGGATTACAACTCCATGTATGGATTGTTATAAGAGTTGTAAGAGTGACAAAATAATAACAATTTATAAATTATCAAGGGTTCATGAGGGAGGGGGGAGAGAGGGGAAAAATGAGGAGTTGATACCAAGGGCTCAAGCAGGAAGCAAATGTTTTGAGAATGATGAGGGCAACACATGTACAAATGTGCTTGACACAATGGATGGATGCATGGATTGTGATGAGTTGTACAAGCCCCCAATAAAATGATTTTAGAAAAAAAAGAGTTGTAAGAGCGCCCAGTAAAATTATCTTTTAATTTAAAAAAGCCAAAAAACAGAAGTCCAAAATCCTCACAACTGGACCGGTAGTGAACATCATAATAAATGGGGAGAAGATTAAAACTGTGAAGCATTTTGTCTTGCTCGAGTCCACAATCAGTGCTCATGGGAAGCAGCAGCCAAGAGGTCAAAGGACATGTTGCCCTGGGTAAATCTGCTGCCCAAGACCTCTTCAGGGTGTTGAAAAGCAGGGAGGTTACTTTGAGATCTAAGGCACCCCTGGCCCAACCTATGATATTTTCAATTGCCCTGGAAATCGAATAAGGAAAATCAAAGACGAATCAACGCATTTGGATTATGGTGCCGGTGAAGAGTATTGTTCTGCCAGAAGAACCAATAATTCTGTCTTGGAAGAAGTACAGCCAAAATGTCCCTTGGAGGCCAGGGCGGTGAGGCTTCTTGGGTACTTTGGACATGTTGTCAGCAGCAACCAGTCCCTAGAGAGGAGCATCATGCTTGGTAGAGGGGCAGCATCAAAGAGGAAGCCCCTCAGCAAGAGGGGGGGACACCGTGGCTGCAGCAATGGGCTCAACACAAGAGCCATCAGGGGGATGGGGCAGCCGGGGGCGGTGTGTGCCTCTGCTGTATGGTAACTCAACAGCACATAGCAACCACATCTCCCTGCAGCGGGGCGCTGCAGGTCACGAACAAAGGTGCCAGTGGTAAGGGATTCAAAAGACCAGATGTTGTTTTCACCCTGGGAGTGCGCACTGACCAGCAGGAGAAACAGGCTCAGAAACAACACAGCGACGTACAGGACAGGGGCTACGGTTTCTTTCCATCTATGTGCAGAATAATGAGGCCCCGACGTGGCTCGTAACAGATTTACCAGGAGAACACCGTGTGAGAGATATTTCGAAGGGAGGAACACAGCATGGTATACTGTAGAGAGGAAAACATTCTTAGCTAGCGACTAGAGCAGGGGTTCTCAACCTGTGGGTCGCGACCCCTTTGGGAGTCGAACAACCTTTTCACAGGGGTCGCCCCGATTGCTAACAGTAGCAAAATGACAGTGATGAAGTAGCAATGACAGTCATGTTAGGGTTGGGAGGTCACCATGAGGAACTGTATGAAAGGGTCGCGGCATGAGGAAGGTGGCGAACCACTGCCCTAGAGGGACAGGTGGAGTGTCGCGCGAGTGATGAAAGGGGAGGAGTCTGGAAGTAGAAATTAATAAACTGTCGTAGGTACTGCCTTCCCTCAGGAAGAAATGGTTGGGTGCATTTGCGAATTGCTCGGTTGGGTTTATTACAGCAATAACTAACTTTTTTAACCTACCTTTGCGTCTGTGGGAAGGGAGCGTGAAGGCGGGCTAAGGAAACCTGGGACCATGTGTTTCTGCTTAGTGACACGTGGTTGGTGAGCCGTTGGAGGTGTGTATCGCTTATTTGCTGTGAATTGAGCGTCCTGACAGCTAATTCGCTATCTAAGACCGAGAACCACTTGTTCTTCAGGCATGTCTGAGACGACAGGACCATAAAAGAGGCACAACTGAGAAGAAGCGAGACCAATTTTGGGAACAAGAGACAAGTATTGAGAGATCCCGGTTTTCAAGCGGGTCATCTTCCAAACAGGTGCGTAAAACTCTGGGAGCAATTCCCTTGCTGTGGAGAGAGAAAGAGAAGGGGGGCCAAGGAGGGGGGTGGGGGGAGAGAGACCTTATGAATAGAAAAGTGGCCTAAAACCTGAGATCTTAAAAAAGTCTGAAAGGGCCATTGTGAGCACCACCCTGACCACCCCATCTATGTGGGACCGCCCTCTCCTTACTTGTGGATCAAGAACCTGCTTGCAGTGGTCTTGCTACACCTCCTCCCGATCAGGACTGGCCCTGTGATTTTAAGAGTCAGCGGCGCTGGGCCTTCTTAAGCACAGCATCCGGTGGTCGAACTCTGACCCTCGGCACTGCTGAGTCCGGTTTGTATTTCAAAGGACGTGGCTCATCCCTCAGCATCAGACAGGCTACTCCTTCTTCCGAGTGTGGTCTCAGTAGAAAGTTCTGCTGAAACCTGTTCACGATGGGTGGCCCTGCTGCTGGCATTTCACATAGCTGCTTCTAGCGTCACAGCAACGTGCCCGCGGTATCACGGCGTGATGGGGAAGTGGGGGATTTCAAAGAAAGGGAGAGGGCACATGCGTTCATTTCATCATTAAGTAACTGGAAAGTGAACAGTTTTGTCTAGGATGCTAATAAATAAGGGCACTATAATGGTTCTTGTTACAATAGAAGTTACCCTATTTAAGTATTTACAGTGTTCTAGACACTGTGCTGAGCATTTTACATATCTATATACTAATTTGTTATACTTAAGACTATATACATACAAACATCCTGTATGTGTATATATATATATATATATATATGTGTGTGTGCTATTTTACAGATGAGCTAACTGAGGCTTAAAGACGTTAACATGTGGGAAGGGGGAGCCTTGGAGCTGATTGTCATGATGCATATACAACTTTTTTTAAAACTAATTTAACTATGGAAGTGAATCCGATATCAAGAAAAATACTTTAAAAAGAAAAAAGAAACAAAACCTGACCGATGATTACCGTGCTTGAAGGAGGAAGAGTTGTTGCTGGGGGGGACTGAGTTTCTGTCAACGGTGGTGAAATAATTTGGAAAAGGGTATTAATGGGTATACAAGACAAAGAGTATAAGCAATGACACCGCATTATATATTGTGTTAGACAGGGTTCTCTAGAGAGATAAAACCAAATTCCTGATAATTTAATATATTTATTTATAAAGATAATTAGATATATAACGAGAAATGAACTGTTAAATCATATACAGATAAATATACAATACAAGAAATAAACAGTTAAATTAGAAAGCACTACAAATGGCTTAGTGCAACTCACGTCCATGAGAGAAAGTTGAGAGACTAGCAGTCCTTCAAGTCTCTATCTGATGCCAGATCTTCCTCTATTTGTAGAGAGAGCTAGGCTATGTCAGCACAGCAGCCAATCACAAGGCAGGTCACCAACCACCAGTCCCCAGCTCCAGAGAAGTCTTAAAGGGATCTCAACTTACAGCAACACAGTCCACAGGCTAGGCGTCCCACAGGCTCTGTAGCCTTTAAATTGAGGCACAGAACAAGCAAGGCAGCCGCACACTGGTCCGCTGATCACAGAGCGAGAGACAAGAAAGGCAAGGCTCACCAAGCCATTTATCTCTCTGCCCTTCAGTCAATCCTACCTGCGTTTATCAGCCAGGCTGGCACAATAAACTATCTCATATATGTAGAAGAATTGGAGCATGTTTTGTTGTGTATATTTTTGCCGCACTTAAAAAGTAATCATTACGTGAATACCATTGAGTACAAGGAAGAAGAAAAGTTCTGGACTTGATTGTGGTGATAATTGTACAACTCTTCTCGATATGATTCAACTGTTGAATTGTATGACATGTGGATGAAGTGCCAATAAAACTGCTATATATATAAATATTTTTTAAAAGACGTTAACAAGTGTTACCTAGGATTTCACAACCGGAGTTCATGCACAGGGGTTCTAGCCCAGGCAGTCTGACCCCAGAGATGGATCCTAAAATGATGAACTATTCACTCATATATCATATTTAAGATCGTACCTGCGTATAAATGTCACACCTCCTATGGAAGAGCTAAAAACCACGAGCTGCGTTGGACACCGGTTGTTAGTGTGGCGATTGGCTTTAAGATGAGTAATATGCCTTTGATGAATTCTTAGCTAATATGTCATGCCTGACGTGCACTCTGGGGGATGGCCTTGCTCTCGCCTACCAGTGCGTGGATCCCCGAGATGGACCCTGGGGTCCCTGATATAAATCAAGTTCTGGTTGAGATTTCTTCTTTAATCTAGGACGTTCACACTGCGGTTATTTAATGTTCAAAGGACATCTTAAAAACATCAATGACTGATGTTTGTGGGTGTTGATGTATTCCTGGGAGAGAGAGATACTCCCTGTTAAGGAAAATAAAAGCATACAATAAAGTAGGTCTGAAGGTGCAAGCGGCTCTCTCACAATAGTGGCAACACGGGAAGAAAGTGTCGCCTGGAGCCTTGGCTCTCTGTCCAGGATTAAATATAACGCCTGCTGTTGATTCAATGGAGCGGCTGAGCTCAGCCCAAAAATTAAATCTAGTTTGGCTAGAGTGCTCTAAACCCATTTTTAGCATTAATATAAATTCTCATATATTTGTACTTGGAGACAAAATTCAAGGACACATTTTTTTGAATGTAATCGAAGTCCACACAGGAGCATGCAGCAAGCTCCCTAGATTGGAATTACTAGACAAATGGACAGCTGGGCTCTTCTATGTTCAGGCGAGACTCGTGTGCGTAGTCACAGACATTTTGCGTGGTCACGCACGTGCACTTGGGTGGTTCTCGAGCTTGATGTTTCAGGCTCCTCTCCACCGACTTTGTCCAGAGGACAAGCTGACGACAGGTTCCTATCGTTTTCTTCTCTGTGCTACGAACTTTACTCATTCTTTAAATTGTCACTGCAAAGTACTCCTACTCCCAAAGCTCTTTCACCTCCCCAGACAGGATGTGGTGTGGCGCACAGAAAGGAAATGATTAGACAGAGTCCACCACCCCAGATGCCATGCTTCTTACTTCCCAACTCTTCACTGTATGAGTCACGTACATCCAACGCAAACAAAAGATAAAAATATGATAAGATGCATAAAATTGGCCATTTCTAGTCTACAGTACGAGGACAGCATCTGTGTGTGTGTGTGTGTTCACCATGTCACCGTAGCGCAGTGTGTCAGAGAACTCAAAACAACATTTCTCATATCATCTCAAGTTTTTGTTCCCAGATAATGATGTCCCAAGAGCTTAGGCCTTGATTGCCAAAGTGCCTTTAAGGCCACGTCGTCTCTCGAAAAGAGTGACAAAATCAGAATTTTTCCGCAGTGAAATTGACCTCTGCATTGCTCTCCCCATTAGAGTTATTCTTGGGGGAATCCTGGAGGATTCGCCTCTGGAAACAAAAGCACAGGAAGGGCAGGGTCAGAGCCAATGTCACGGAATGCCTCGCTCTCCTCAGCCATCTTACGGGCTGTGCTCATAATGCCCTCCCACCTGCTCTCGTTGGTGGATCTCTGAAAGACTCAAGCCAGACCCAGGAAATCTTCAACTCACAGGCTCGCCGGTTGGTGTGGAAGCTCCCTCCCCAGATGCTATTGGAATCCGGTGGTCTTAAATTGCCAAGAGTCTGAGCATGCCCTGCTGTATCTCAAACCCTGTCTCTGCAGACCTAATCAAACCTCTTTCCACAGGAGGCTCCGTGCCAGCAAGGTCCCGGAGCTAGTCTCCCAGAGGAGACTGGGAATAAGAATAGCCAAACCTCCTACAGGAGGACCCAGGCCTGACTGATAGGGATCCCGTCTCCAGATCTCAATGTATTGGATATGACATTCTTCCCTGGAGTCGCAAAAGACCCTCAGTCCAAAGAGACACATGCCCAGCCATGTTCACTGCAGCATGATTCCCAAAGAGGAAAAGATGGAAGCAACCTAATGCCCACCCGTGGATGAATAGATAAACAATAGACTACTACGCAGCAATGAAGAATCATGATGAGTCTGTGAGACGTCATGCAACGTGGATGACTCTGGAGGCCACTGTTGCTGTTGTTGTTAGGGGCCGTTGAGCTGACTCGTAGCAACCCTTTGCATCACAGAACAAAAGCACTGCCCTGTCCTGCACCATCCCTATGACTGTGGTGAGGTGGAAGCCCTTGTGGCAGCCACGGTGTCAGTACATCGCGTTGCATCCATCTCATTGAGGCTCCTCTTATGCTGAGTGAAAAAAGTCGTCACCACAGGGCAACTCTTACACGAGACCACGAGGATAAGGAGTTAGGGACAGGTTTACAGGAAGAAACCGTCTTCAATGGTTACCAGGGACCAGAGGGGGATTCATGAACTACATTGTGCGATGTAACGAGTGAGAAAAGACGCTACACAACATGAGGACGTTGGTACAATGTGACCACGATGAAGGAAGATACCGAAAGGGCTGCAGGAATAAAGAAGCCCCCCAGAGCTCTGGGGGCGTAGTGGGTTATCCACTGAACTACTAACCACATGGTCACTGGTTCAAACCCACCAGCCACTGAAGGGTGAAAGATGAGGATTTCTGCTCCCACAAAGATTTGCAACCTCAGAAACCCACAGGGGCAGGTCCTCCCCTTCCCCGGAGGGTCATGTGGGACTAAGTGGACTTGATGGCAGTGCGTTTGGGTTTTGTATAGTAAATAACGGTGCCACATAGTTTCTTTGGCCTACTGCCCCCTTTTCAGAACAACAGGAGTGGTGTCGCCCACTTTGGGAAACACTGCCATAACATATACAAGTAGATAGTAGATAAATGTGGATGCTATATAAGTGAGGGAGATCCTATGGGAGTACACTGCACACTTATGTAAATATGATTATAGACGTATTTCGACAGACATGTTTATAAATGCTGCCTGTATACTCCTATAATAGAACATATAGAGGGCACAGTTATAAAAATCACGTAGATATCAGTACTGAACGACTGGACTTGAAGCTTAGGACCATAGTCTCCAGGG